ATAGTTGCAAAACCACATTAGACATAAATAGAGACAAAAGAATCGCAGATATATAATTTTTTATGTAGCCTTAATTTGCGCAACTCTGACATACCCTTTGTTTACCCATTTTTATTTGGGTACAGGGTATGCGGCTACTATCGACAATTGGCAATCAGAACGCAGTTTGCTCTTTGGCTTCTATATAAGACAATATTATCAAGAAGCTATAGACGCGGCTTATCTTCAGTAAAGTCAGGCAAGAAAGAAAAGAGGCAGCTTGGCAACCAGCATGCCAAGCAGCTGATAACAGAACCCGCCACCCTTTGAGGAAATGTCATTTTTGCATTGTTTGATGCAATGCATACAAAGCGTTTAAGAACTCACGAGTATGCATGTAAATATGTATATAGATATACACATATGTATATAATTAAAAGAAAGATCGCCACGCAAAGTCGAAACCAACGCGCCTTTTCCTGCCTTGCCAAAGTTTGCGATAAAAAAAAAGGAATAAAAAATATAAAAGAACTTTTAGAATGCGTCGAATGCATACAAAAGATATGCCAAGCCGTACATGCGATATGCAGAGAAGGACAGAGAGAGAGAGAGGGCGTAATTCTGGGCGAGAGAAAAGTCAAGTGAATGAAAAAAAAAAACAAAAATCAGAAAAAACTATGGCAAACAATGGGAAACGCAAAAGAAACTTTGATTTCAAATGGCGACCAGACGACTTGGCGACTCGGCTTTGATAAAACGTTGAAAATGTTAGAACAAAACCCATTGAAAGAATTTCCAATACGGAACGGAAATGCGGCACAGACCCAGAAATGGGCTGGGAGCATTTGGTTCCATAGAACACTGCATGCGTATATGGCAAGGCCTAGATATGGCAGTGGCACAGGCAAAAGACATAAAGACATTGCAACAGGCATACTTAGTGGTGTTTAGTAATAGTTATGGCATATGAATATCAATAATATACTGTACATAAATATGTTTTATGCATAGGCAAAGCTATTAAATACTTTTTAATAAAATCTATCAAATGTTGTTCTATTGAATCTTAACTATGGTATCAGGGTATGTGCATATGTATATAGTTTATAATATATATTAAAACTATTGTGATTAGTTTGATATCAATAATCGTGTTTTGTGTCCACAAATAATATATAAATTTATGTAAAACCGAAATTAATTTGATTGTTTTTTATCGTATTGAGACAACGATGATAACATTTGAATTATATTAAGTATTGTTTTTGTAAGTTCATAAATATCGAGTTGCTAATAGGATATTCAGTTTTTAACAATTCACTTAATATAACAAATTATTAAAAAAACAAAAGTAATTTTAAAAAATAAACGGAAGCGCCTAATTATATTTTTAAGAAATATGTACAAAACATTTATAAAAATCTGATATACTTGTTGTTAAGACCTTGCATTGTGCGTGATATCTTTATACAAGCTGTTCTACCCTATCATATTTCTTCACACACACAACAACTTCATTGAATCGAGCTGCGATAATCACAACAAATTACACAGACAAACATTTGGGAACACAACTAATAAAGTTATCAAACCACTTGACGGTCAACGTACAGACAAGAGACAAAAAAAAAAACAAGAAATAAAAATAAAACCAAAAATCTAAAATGATTCGAAAGACCACGTAAAATTCTTGGGAAAAACACGAGCTGCAAGTCGCGACAGATTTTCAATGGGTTTTTATATGAATGTGTATCTGAAATTATAAAAATTATGTTGGCGCCAGTCGTGCAGAGCCCATGAATGACGACAACAGACGCGCAGTAATTGGAAACCTAAATTGAAACATTTGTTTCTTTCGGTTTTATTTTTTTTTTGGAAACACTTTATTGTTTTTAATAAAATTAGGCGGCATGCGCCATGCCTAAAATTGGCACGTCCCATGCCAAAAGATAAAGATGCGTTGATTATTTGCATAATTGCGTGATTCGCATGCCGTCAAATGCATGAATCATGTGTGGAGAATATGTTTAATATTTTTTTTTTTTTTTTGTATAGTAAATGGATAGTTGGATAAAGCCCCATGAGTCAAGCGATTGTCAAGTGTTTGTTTGATTAGCTCATCATAGAACCGCCTTCAATTGATCTCAAAGTGTGGGCCATTGAACTGCAACTGCAACCGAAATGCAACAAATATGTTGTTGTTGTGTTGTCGTTGCTGTCGCGCGGCATAAATCACTTGAAATGCCGCCCGGCCAAACAATGGGGCAGGCATAATATCAAAGAGGAAACACACGCCAGACCCAGCCACAGATTTAGATACTACTATTAAACCGCTCATAAGACGCTAAGTTTACCTGCTTTTACCTGTTTTTTTTTCCTCTTCAGCGCAATCGTTACCCAAACAAAATAACGGCTGAACACAATCAAACCAACATGTTCGATCGCTATGCGTTGGCATTTCAAGTTTTGTTGGCGCTCTTTCAGTTTGTTTTGTGTAATCAAATAACCCAAGAAGGGAAATTATTTGAATTATGTTTTATCTGCCTTAAGTTCAGTTTTGAATAGATAATAAAAAAGTGTTTCCTATTTGGTAATCGCGTATTGTCCTTATATTTATATATGTATGATGCATACTGGGAATAAATGATCAATATTAAAGCTAAGCTGTTTACAATCATTCTTAGGATCTTTTCTCTGGTTTAAGTATTTGACTTTTCTAATAGAAATGATGTAATAATAATGATGTAACATTTTTATTCGAATTTGACAGATAGTGAATTAATAAATAAATAAATTTACTTCATTTTAATAAGTCCACGCATTTCCGTAAATCGAAGATATGTTATCAAGAACGTAGCTATTAAAAAATTACCACTTTTTCCTAGTACAAACCTATTTACTGAGTTCATAATATGAGATAGTAAATGCAGAGCCGTAGTGCTCATTCTGTGTCGCTGTCTTTTGTCTACTATTTTCAACTTGTGGTGTGCTCTACTTAAAGTTAAATGAGTGCTATATAGAAAAGTAATGGAAATTGTACTATCTCAATTACTTAGACAGATACTTATAAACGAGGTAAAAGTTGTTCTAAAACAGATATGTATATCTGTAATATTTTTAGAGATTAGCATAAATATGCAATATAATCATATTGAGTTTTACAAGATAAATAAAATGACTAGGTTGCTAATAATTAATCATTGTTTCGTTTTAATGTGTCTTCTTCTCAAATTAAGAAATATATATTTTTTATTCCACTCTCTACCGAAAAATACAAAACAATGGTTTTATGTATTGAAGTTGAGATTGCCTGCAATTTACGCACATCATTGACAAGAATTGCATATGAAACTTGCGCCAGGCCACAGTCAACAATGCCAGCAAATAATACTGGGAAATTTGATGGCTTGCAGCTCGAACATGTTCGCCGACGACCGCATACCGATGCATGGGCTACGTTGCCGACCGAGACACACAACGGCAAACCAGTTTTTCTTGCGCGCACAGTCAACGACGGGCAGCTGACGTGAACAGTTCGCAGTTCGCAGTACGCAGTTCGAAAACGGTTCTCGGCTCGTCGACGGTCGCTCGTTTGCTTGGCGTGCCAAGAGGCAGAAGAAGCAGTATTGAAAATAAAATTTTGCCAAAAATTCAAAATTTGTTTTTTCAATCGCAACGCGAAGAAATGCGACGCGACAACAAATAAATCAAAACAACAAAAGTATGTGTTCGATATTGTTATATGGAGAATTAAATGGTCAGCGGAAATATGAAAACAAACGTGTTTGGCATGCCATATGCAAAAGCTACGCGCCAACTAAATAAATAATAAGCCAAAGACGTCAGCAAACAAACAAACCTAAGAATTATGCACAAGCACAGCGCCAGAAATTGGCTCGAACGTACTCAAAGATACATTTGTATCTTGTGCCTTGCAGTTTGTGCAGTTGCCAGTCGTTGTCGTCAATGGGGTTTTTATTTTTTTTATTTTATCCGTTTTCTTGTTTTGTGCGAAAGTAAAAACTACCTGCAACACTTGGCAACTGGCCGAGAAACCAGTTTTGTGAAAATTATTGGCCATTGCTTTTGTTTTGGTTGTTTTTCGTTATTTCAGATTTTGTTGTTTTCCTTTTTTTTTTTTTTGTCTGCTCACTCATTCGATGGATTTGAGACCCCCCTAAAATAATAACCAGAAATTGGCCATTCAATTGGCTGCTGCAAGTGTTGCACGACGACAGATTCGTAAAATATTGTGCACTTTGTGTAGGTAGCGGTCAGCTGAAGGTGGACTGTTCAAATAAATCTCGGGATAATGTTTAAAATATCAGAAAATATATAAACATAGGGATAAATATGTATTCGAAAAGTTGCAGAATATATAGCTGTTATTTTAAATATTCTGAAATATTTTATGTATATTTTCGAAAAACCATTTAATTTAAATCAACTGGAAATATTTCTTAGATATAGAAAAATAGAAAGATTTCGAAAGATATTAAGCTTGGCTCAAATTTATTATTCACTATTATACTTTATTATTTAAAACATATTATTATTAATAAAAGAATATTTAAAAGTCTTTCAAATTTAATTTTCAAAATTATTTAAAAATACTGGGAAGGAAATGAAAATTTACATTTGAATCCGAAAGTTTACATTCTGAGACTTTCAAAATTGGGGACAGATAACAAATATATTCATAAAATGGGGTATATAAGAAACAAATAGTTTAACAAATCAATTTTGGAAATATATTTAGTTTGGATGCAAATATATTACAAAAGATTGCAAAATTAGAAAGAAAAACGATTCTCAATTGTCAAGTAACTGCAAAAACATTTACTGATCTATTTAGTGACCCATAAAACTCGCAATTTGCAACGAATTAAAAGGCTAAATAATTATTCACTAAATTTCTAATTCACAGTCAGATAAAATTGAATATAAAAAGTGCGTGAATTACCAACTGCAGTTAAGTTCTAAATTATATAACGATACAAGTGCAGCAAAGTGCAGCTCCTGAAACGCCCCTCAATAACCAAAACAAAAAAGAAAAAAAAATCAAAAGCAACATGCTGATGCACACCACATCGACCACATCGACGGCAACGATGACCAACTCATCCTCATCGGCCACGCCCACGCCGGGCTCGACGTCGTCCAACAACAGCGCCACGCTAGAGACGCTGCAGCAGCAGCAGCAACAGCAGCATCAGCAGCTGCAACAACAACTGCAGCAACTGCATACAACAAACAATTCGCGCCCCCCCTCGCGCGCACCCTCCATACTGGACAGTCCCACGCTGGCGCGTGTGGAACGTGCGCGTCTGCGTCTGGAACATGAACGCGAACGCGAACGCAGCAGCCAGCGCAGCAGCCAAGGAGGAAGCGGCGGCGGCGGCGGCGGCGGTGGTGGCAGCAGCAGCGGCACAGGCAGCACAGCAACGACCATGAATCGTGAGGATAGCCTGGAGCGCAGCATACTCGATCCAAAGGTGAGTCCAGTCCAGCAGTCCAAGAGCCGATAGTCGCCACACACACAAACACACACACACATATAAATTACAATTAAGTTTCCGCCAATGTTTCGGTTTGTGATGTGAAAATGAAAAGATTACCAAGTCTGGCATGGTACAGGGAGAGCCTGAGAATGGAAGCCACTCAGACAACTCCTTCAGTCTCGAGATATGAATTAAATCGATGGGTTTGTTAAGTGGGCAACTAGAGTTTATCGATCAGTTGTTGATACGAAACTCACTTGAAAGTAAAGGGTGTTCAAGAAAAAAAAACAAAATAAAAATCAAATTAAATAAAATAACACTTTCTGAAGACCTTTGAGGTATATGGTATAAAAAACGAAGGAAGAAAATTGTATTTGCATTTGCTTGATAATTTCCTATGTTTATATAATACTTTGTGTAATTCTCTCAGGTGAATTCAAGTTTTTCTTTGGGGTTTCAAATTCATTTACCAAATCTATTTCTGCTTGTAGTTAAGAATCTCTTTCTTTATTTGGTTTTCCACAATCAGGTCCGATTAGAAGATTTTTCATCTTATACAGTCATTCTAATCTTGGGGCTAACCCAATTGTGATTTGAATTCCCAAATGTTTTATATGCGTCGTTTGTGAAACGCTATGCAAGTTCTTAACTAATTAAATTGATGAGGTTTCTTCCCAAACAGCTGCCGTTTTGCAAATAATTGTTAGCTAAGAAACTTGCACACATCAATGAATCTCAATTGTAGAACATTTACTTTGTTTATATCATTAAATTTTACTTTCCAATCCCATCGATGCCAGTGTTTTTTGCAAACCTTAAAAAGAGTGACGCAGTCTGTCCGAGTTTTTCGAGTTTAATTATTAAAGCGATGGAACGTATCTTAACCTAAATCAAAGTTCTCTTTTTCGGGTACATATCGTATCATTCTAGCTAAGCTAGCTTTTACTTCAAAAATAAAAATCCAGATTCGCGAAAATTTTAATCTCAGCTCTGTCAATCCCTCGGCGACAGTAAAGGTCATTTCGAATCTGGTGAATTAGTCGTGAGCTGAGCCAAAAAAATGTGAGTGTATTCACATTCATTGTTGCTACTAAGCCATGTTCACATTTGTTGTTGGGTCGCTCCTGGCCTGTTCCTGACCAGCTCTTGACAGCATTTCACTAATGGCCAGTCCCCTGGAACACTCCCCCATGTACTTGGCCTCTGGGCTGCGTATTTATGTGTGTGTATGTAAATGCTTTTTATTTTGTTATTATTTTGTTAACACTGTTATCTGTCGGGTGTTTATCTGAACAGCGTCTATCTGAGTTGTTGGCATTGCGGTCTCATCATCTACAGAGCATAAGCTCTTTAGACTCTGCTCGTTTTTAAAGCTTATCCACGTCTTTGACTTTGTGGACTCTGTTTTCTGTTCTTCTCCGTTTTTGCATACTGCTCTGCCGGCTACTATGTCAACCTGGCCTAAAACAGGCAGCCTATAAACCTTGTCAGGTAACTAACAATTTTTGTAGGGTTTGCTTAGGCTCTGCACAACAAGAACAATAACAACAACAACAACAAAAACAAACCAAACAAACAAAGATAATGAATTGCAAAAGATACCCGACAATACAGCACGGACTTAAGATAGGCACAATCGCTTACTTGTATCTATGCTGGGCAAACACAGAAACTAAATGAATCGTGTTTGCGATTACATGATCGATGGGCACTGTGTGCTTAAGTAAGGAGTTCACACTAAATGAGTAGAGCACATAAGCTCTCCCTTGTACAATACTACTTTAAAAGCTCTTCTAATTGTACACAGTACAGAATGTCAGTGTGGAATGACTACAATTGGTCTCGGGGGAGAAAGTAAGTTCGCTCTAACAAAAGAAAAAGTAATGCAATTGTTATGATTACGCCTGAATATATTTAACCTAACTGAAAAACAGCACTGCCTACTAAGGCACAACAATATTCATACCTTAGTCTGGGATTTGAGCCTGTGTTCTCTCTGTTTGGCTGCCTACAACTAACTAAATTAAAACATTTTATTATAAAAGATCCTCTAACAATTTGTAAAGTGAAGACAGTTTAGAAAATGACTTTTTCATATGACATAAGAGCTGATAACTTTTGAGAAGAGCTGGGCTAGAATAAACTGGTCTAGGAATACTCAGGAGGTAGAATTGACTTTTGTCTCACTATGCGATTTGTTACCTTTCTAATTAAGTGCTCCCACAATAACAAAGGCCTAAAAATTCCTCTCATGTCATATTTTAATTTTTCTCTTCCCATTCATTGAAGGACTGGATAGTCAGAAAGAACGTAAACAAAACAATAATATATGAGAAATACAGTTCGTCTTTGATGAATGCCAGACAACTTTGACTCTATACTATATTTTATTTATACAATATCATTTTATTTATATTTTTGGAGCACTGCAGACATTCAATTTCATGAGTTATTCAAACATGTCGACTTAGAGTATTTTCTAAGAGAGGATTTGAGTCTCAACAAAGGCAATGAAGAGTTAGTCCACTAGTTTAGGTGTTTTCCCTTTTCGTAAATCTTATTTAGCAATTTTAGATTTATATTTTATCCTATAATTTAATTTATTGTATTTATCACCAATATTCCATAAATGATTGGAATAATAAAGCAGAGACGAAGAGGCTTATATATATATATAAGAGAGCGGAAGCTTAGTCCTGCTTGTTTAATAAGCACTCTTTGAGTAAAATCCCGCTCTTAAGGTCGCTCTTTGGTTGGCTCCTTCTTGTTCTATTGCTCTTTAAGCGTGTCCCAGTTGAGCATTAGATAATTTTGATGTTGACTAATGCAATTCTTTTGAGTCACATAAGTTTGCGACTTTCAGAATTTAATTCGCTTGGCTTTTCAATTTACTTTGGCTCGAAGCCAGCTTTGCCAGCAAACTGACTGATTACCTGAGAGCTCGTAAGTAGTGCATGCCAAATACTTGAGCTCTGCCAGTTTGTCAGGCCACTCTTTTTAGTCTATTGACTCGTAACAAATTGTACTATGTAGAATTTTCGTCTGGAAGCAAATTGCCTGCATAATTTCCTCAGTTTCCTGAATGTCGCAACGCGACGTTGCAACAAAATGTTGCCAAATATTTGCGCAGTTGTTATGCAGTTTGTTTGGGGCTGCTGTCAATAGATTTAGCAACTGGCAACTGGAAAATGGAAGCTGAGCACGTTGAAGGCTGTACGGGAGAGGCGAGCAGCGAAGGTCGATAAATTTCTGTGTGCCTCATTTTTTATTCCTCACAGTTTTCTTTAAGCCAAGTTTTGGCAACGCCCGAAACTTTATGCATAAGGCACAAAATCAATGCTGCACTTTTTCGGGGTCATTTTGCTGGACAGTGAATGTCGGGTGAGAGGAGGAACGGTGGGGGGTTCATTGAACCCGACGGCCTAACGCTTCAAGTGCTTAAGACATTAAGACAAGTTCATAATTAGTCACACTTAAAAAGCCATTGGCCCTCAAAGTTTTTGCCCCGTTAGTGGCCAGGCCAGAAATATGAGCAAAGGCAAAAGCTGAAACAAAGCGAAGCACAAGAAAAATGGTAACCAGAGACACGGCACAGAGACAGCACCAAAGTTATGAGTAGGAAGCGCCAGGGCGACTCACTCGAGCAGCGAGCTCGCAAATGGAAAGCAAACAGCAAAAATCTCGGCAAGAAAATCGAGAAAAACTTGGTACGTGCCCGGCGAGCATTTGGCTGGACTTTGCCACAGATAGCTAGAAAATGTACACTACTAGTATATATGTACGGTACCAAAAGCCAAACAAACGGACATTGTCTGCACGGTCAGTTTGGCCAGTTCCATCTCTGGCCATATGGCCAAGCCTCGCTGCACTCGAGTGCAGTTGCCAAAGGGCTTAAGTCGCGTATCTGGAGCAGAAAACATGCAGCGCTATGTGGGAGAAATGTGTTAGGTATAGTTTGTGTGTGTGTGTGTTGGGTGAAATTCAGCTAAAGCAAGAAAACATAGTTCACTTTTAGAGTGTCGCAGATTGAATACACTTGCAGATATATACCACATCTGGGCACATATTTCTTCACATTCTTTAAACGATTGCTCCGATGAGCGCAACATGATAGCTTCAAAACTTAGAGACAAACTTGTTGGTTTATGATGATCAATAATATTATAAGCTTTATGGGGTTAGAGACGTCTCCTTCCATGTGTTACGTATTTCGTGACTAAATTATGATGCACACACTGCAAGGGTATTAAAAGAAATGAAATGAAATCTATTCCAATGGTTGTAAAATATTTTCAAGCGACTGTCGGCGCAAAAAACAAGCCAACAAAAAAAAAAACAACAGGAACAACAACAACGACCGCAAAACAATTGCAGCCCCCACGTAAACAATTTCAATAAATTTTACGTTCAATGTCAATTTATTTTGTGCTGCGCGTTTCAATTTGACGGCAGAGAGCCAACAACAACAACAACAAAAAGGAACAGCAGCATTTAGAACACAACAAATTCATATTCGCGTTGTTACATTTTCAGTGTTTTTGCAACAAATTAAAAATAATGAAAAAAAAAGAATTTTAAAATGAAAAATGTTCTCTGCACGGCTGAATGCGCACACAGGCCTCATGGGCGAGCGGATAGGGGGTAAGGTGACCAATTTGATGGGAAAATGTGCAGGGAAAGAGGTGTAGAAAGTGTGTAGCCGATCGTAAATATAATAGAGTTAATAGCCGGAAAATGTTAAGAGAGCGAGAAGAAAAAGAACGAGAGAAAAGAGCAGAGAAAGCGTCAATCCTTACTAAACTATGCGCATTTAAAAAATTTTATTTAAGTTATTTTTATAACAAAAAGATTATTCAATTTGACCAATAAATGACAAGTTCTCAAATCAAACACAACGATTTTCTAATTTTGTAGTCATAAAATATTGTATTGCCGAAGAGAACAAAGAAAAAAAATAAAACGAACCAGCTAAAGATAAAAATAAATCACGAAAT